ATTGCTGTGCGCAATTGGCTGCCGCGTTCGCCCACAAATATACAGTCAATTCACTTTACAGTGTGTTCTGTGAAGCACTTTGGGACGTCCTCCCGACGTGAAAAGCGCTATATCAAATGCAAGGATTATTATTATTATTATTACCTGGTCCACTGAGATCCAAATTTCAATCTGGTTCAGGCTGAAATGCTATTTTGTCTTAATATATTAAATTGTGCCAGACTGAAGAACATTCCTAATTTTTTTATACATATATATAACAATAATATAATAAATTCAGTATTAATTTCTGCAGTTCCTAAAAAGACAAGTTTCCAACTTAAGTTGAAGCTAAATTCTGTGTAGTTTTAAATATTAAGACAAAATGGTCTGAATGGCTAAGAGTAGGATGAATTTGGGACCCAGTTGATATTAACACCATAAGTGTTAAGTCGCTGTTAATTAACTTATCACCCATAACAACTAAATTATATTTATAGAGTGCTTTTCACGTTGGGAGGACATCTCAAGGCGCTGGACAGTCAGGGGTCAGGACCCAAGCATGGGGGAGGTGTGGAGTAGGGGTGAGGGAAGGCAGAGAGGTGGGTGGGCAATCAAAGGCACAATCGAAGAGGAGGGTCTTGAGACCAGCCTTGAAGGAGGCAAGGGAGGAAGCGAGGCGAAGGGACTGTGGGATGGAGTTCCAGAGTGTGGGAGCAGAGAGGCTGAATGCTTGGCGACCGATGGTAGAGCGGGTCGGGTGGAAGACATGGAGCAGGCCGGAGCCCGCTGAATGGAGGGAGTGGGCAGGTTGATAGGGAGTCAGCAGGTCAGAGAGGTAGGAGGGGGTAAGGCCATGGATGGCTTTGAAAGTGAGGATGAGGATCTTGAATTCGATTCTCTGAGGGATGGGGAGCCAGTGGAGTCGCGTGAGGGTGGGAGTGATAGGGTCACAGAGTCTGGTGCGCAAGAGTACACAAGCTGCAGAGTTTTGGATGATCTGCAGCTTGTGAAGGGAAGAGTTGGGAAGGCCGATGAGGAGGGAGGTTCCAATAATTGAGCCTTGATTTAACGAATACATGGGTGAGGGTTTCGGCAGCCTGAGGGGTGAGGCAGTAGGGAGTCTAACAATGTTGCGGAGGTGGTGGTAGGCAGTACCAGTCATGGCGCGGATGTGGGTGAGAAGGGACAGTTCAGGGTCAAACAAGACACCCAGGTTCCTGACTGGGTAGGACAACAACAAGATTGCATTTGTATAGCGCCTTTCTAGGGTTTAAAAGAGGTGGCTGCTGAGATAGTGGATGCCTTGTTTTTGATCTTCCAAAATTCTCTGGATTCTGGAACGGTTGCCATTGATTGGAAGATTGCAAACGTAACACCACTATTTAAGAAGGGTGGGAGAGAGAAGATGGAGAATTATAGACCAGTTAGTGTGGGTGGTAGGGAAAATTCTAGAATCCTTGATTAATGAAGTCGTAGTGGGGTACTTAGAAGACCATAACATGATTAGGCGAGTCAACATGACTTTACAAAAGGGAAGTCATGCTTAACAAATCCTTTGGAGTTCTTTGAGGAGGTAATGAGCAGGTTAGATAGGGGGGAACCAGTAGATGTAGATTTTCAGAAGGCATTCAACAAAGTGCCACCTAAAAGGCTGCTACACAAGATTAGGGCCCGTGGAATTAAAGGCAATATATTAACATGGATCAAAGAGTGGCTAATGGAAAGAAAACAGAGAGTAGAGATAAACTGGTCCTTCTCAGATTGGCAAGATGTGACAAGTGAAGTGCTACAAGGATCAGTGCTTGGGCCTCAACTATTTACAATCTATATTAATGATCTAGACGAGAACATAGAACATAAAATATCTAAATTCGGGGATGATAGTAAGCGAGGTGGGAGAGTAAGCTCTGAGGATGACGCAAAAAGATTGCAAAGGGTTATAGATAGGCTAGGTGTGTGGGCAAGAAGGTGGCAGATGGAATATAATGTGGGGAAGTGTGAAGTTATTCATCGAGCTAATAAAAACAGAAAAGCAGATTATTTTCTAGAGGGGGAGAGACTAGATAGTGTTGGTGTTCAGAGGGATTTGGGAGTCCTTGTACACCAGTTACAAAAAATTAGTATGCAGGTACAACAAGCAATTAGGAAGGCTAATAGTATGTTGGCGTTTATTGCAAAAGGGTTAGAATACAAGAGTAGGGAAGTCTTGCTGCAACTGTATAGGGCCTTTAGAATACTGTGTGCAGTTTTGGTCTCCTTATTTAAGAAAGGACATACTCGCCTTAGTGCAACTAACCTAGCTGAGCAACTAACCTATTGCAGCTTAGATTCACTAGGTTAGTTCCTGAGATGAGGGGGTTGACCTATGAGGATAGGTTGAGTAAACTAGGCTTATATTCTCTAGAATATAGAAGAATTAGGGGTGATTTTATAGAAACATATAAGATTCTTATGGGGCTTGACAGAGTAGACAGTGTGAGACTGTTTCCCCAGTAAGAGAATCTATAACTAGGGGTCACAGTCTTAAGATTAAGGGACAGCCCTTTCGAACAGAGTTGAGGAAACACTTCTTCACTTGGAGGGTAGTGAATTTATGGAATTCTCTACCCCAGAAGTCCTTGAACGTACTCAAGACTGAGATTGATAGATTTCTAAAGGATAGAGGGATTAAGAGATATGGAGGGCAGGTGGAGTTAGGTTAGAAGATCAGCCATGATCTTATTGAATGGCGGGGCAGACTTAAGGGGCCAAATGGCCTACTCCTGCTCCTAGTTCCTATTTACAAGTGTTATAAGTGAAGGTGAAGGATATATATTTTACAGCTGATTAAAAACACATATCCCTTACAAACTTTACATGTGAGATACCAAGGTTGATTTAGAAGACATCTGTCATGGATATCTTTCTGTAAAACAACATATCTTTAATACAAAACATATGCAGTGAGTATTTGATTTTCACAAAATGGATTCTGCCCCTTTTCCCTGAAGGAAAAAATCTGCAAAAAATTCTAAATTCCCTAACAGAATTAAAAGATATCTATTTATTATTACAATATTCTATCCTTTCATGTCTGGAGGATGTCCCAAGGCGCTGGACAGTCATGGATTTGGACTCGTGTGGGGCGGGAGGGGGGATTGGGATCAGGGAGGGCAGAGGGCAGCCGAAGGCACAGCCAAAGAAGGATCTTGAGACGTGACTTGAAGGAGAAAAGGGAGGGAGCGAGGCGAAGGGATGTGGGATGGAGTTCCAAAGGGTGGGGCAGAGAGGCGTAAGGCCTGACCACTGATGGTGGGGTGGGCCGGGCGGGGGACCTAGAGCAGGCAGGAGCCTGCTGAGCAGAGGGAGTGGACAGGTTGGTAAGAGAGTTAGCAGGTCGGAGAGATAGGAGGACTCAAGGTGAGGTCGAGGATTTTGAATTCTATCCTCTGAAGGATGGGGAGCCAGTGGAACCTGGCTAAGGTGGGGGTGATGGGGTCACGGAGCCTGGTGCGGGAGAGGACACAAGCTGCAGAGTTCTGGATGATCTACAGCTTGTGGAGGGAAGAGTTGGAAAGGCCCACAAGCAGCGAGTTGTCAAGCCAGCTGTGATGAATGCATGAATAAGAGTTTCGCCAGCCTGAGTGGTGAGGCAGTAGTAGAGCCAGGTGATATTGTGGAGGTGGGGGAAGGCAGAGCGGGTCATGGCACGGATGTGGGGTAGAAAGGGTAGTTCAGGGTCAAACAAGATGCCAAGGTTCCTGACTGGCTTGGTGAGGAGGAGTATACATCCATGGATGGTGATGCTGTCAGTGCCTGAGGTGTGGAGGTCCTGACGGGAGCCAATCAGGAGATCCTCGGTCTTCTTGACATTTAACTGTAGAAAGTTAGCTCTCGTCCAGGACTTGATGTCTGACAGACATTCTGTTAGGACAGCAGTGGTCCTGGAGTCGAGGGTGGAGGCAGAGATAGAGTTGGGTGTCATTTGCATACATGTGAACCCCATGTCTGCAGATGATGTCACCAAGAGGAAGCATGTACATGTTGAAGAGGAGGGAACCAAGGACAGCGTCCTGATAAACGCCACACAAGACAGTGCGGAGGCTGGAGGAGAAAACGTTTTTTGGAGATGAAGTGGAGACGGTGTCAAAGGACAGAACCATGTAGGTTGAGGTAAGAGGCGGTGGAGGAGGATAGAGTGGTCAAAAGTGTCAAAGACAACAGAGAGGTCGAGGAGACAGAGGGAGCTTTGATCATAGATGGACAGAATGTCATTTGTCACCTTGACCAGGGCAGCACGGAAATTTGATTGAAGGGGTTTGTATAGGAAGTGGCAGGAGGGGAAGCAGCGAAACAACGACCCGTTCAAGGAACTTAGAAAGGAAAGTTGGAGATAATAATAATAATCCTTGCATTTGATATAGCGCTTTTCATGTCTTCTAGACGTCCCAAAGCGCTTCACAGAATATACTGTAAAGTGAATTGACTGTATATTTGTGGGCGAGCGCGGCAGCCAATTGCGCACAGCAATGTCCCACAAACAGTCGTAGATTGAAAATGACCAATTTATTATTGTTTTGGAGGGATTATTATTAGGCGTGTGGAGTAAGGAAACTTGCCCAAGGTTTCGCCCTGCCTGGAATTGAACTCAGGTCTCTCGCTTGCAAAGCGAATGCTCTAACCACTGAGCTACAGGAGATGGGACGGTAAATTGAGAGCAGGGACCAGGGAAGGTTTTTTGAGGATAGGGTGATGATGGCTATTTTTAACCCTTAGCGAGGAAGATATCAGTAAAGTACAGAGGCAATATGGATAATTACCAAGCGTATTGTGCAGTATTGAATGCTGACTGACCCTTCTCTTAATTCTATTTCATTTAATAAAATAATGGATAAGGATTTCACACAAAGAAACAATGGGGAAAGTAAAAGCCAGTTCAAGGTAGGCCTAAATAATTCAATGTGTGGCTGAGTTTTTGATCTTCTTCACTCATGCTTCCCATTAGCAATTTTACACTGGACTCACTGCTAAACAAAACACCATTTTCCATTTGATTTTATTGGAATTTCTAACACCAACGGACTCCAAAAAGAAATAGGTTTGTTTTACAGACCCTGTACCAGTATATTGTATACAGACATCAACCTATATGATTTGGTTACATTTATCACACGCAACATCGGAGGGAAAAAAAGAGATGGCAGCAGTGGTTCTATTCTTTGATTCTCTTTTCCAATACTCACCTCCCTTCGAGCCATTAGATTTTACCGAGTTTCATTGCATAAGGGAACAGGTTCTCACTCAGTGTGAAAGCTGTAAAATTTGGCACTTTTGCAAGTCCTATAGTTTGGAGAGAATGAACCACAGCCCCATCCAATCCTCAATTACAGTTAAAACTGCAGGCATGAAGAAATTACTTTGCTTTTTATCATTATCCCACAGTAAGATAAGTTTACTCTGAGGTAATAAAAATGTACTGTTCTTTGGAGGGAAAATACATTCTTTTTTGTTCAAATCAAGTTTTTCAACATTTACCACATGATTTTCAATAAATCTATTATCCTCAGTTCAGTAACTAAATATGGCAGTCAGAGGATTCAAGTGAATTGTCACAGAACCATCACCTTGAGTTTTTTTTGTTTGTTAAATGATCAAGCAGCTTCAGCTGAAGTGTAACAAAAAGAAACAAGATTAAAAACTATTGATTGTGAAATGGAAATTGAGCCTCTCATCACAATGTTTAGATGCACTAAACGCTGAATAAATCAGTTGTAGAAGTGTTCAAAATCTTTTTTAAAAAAAACTTCTTAAAAAACTGCAGAAATGACTATCAGTTTCTATATGCCAAATTCTTACATTTACACAGGCCTTAACAATTTCTCTGAGCCATGTACTGTGTGATGAAACAGTCTCAGATACAAAGGCCTAGTAAAGCATGCACTTTTTACATCCTCTCACAGCTAATAGACTCTTACTGCTACACACTCTGCATCTGTTCTTTCATGGCTTACTATTTCCTTCTTTAACTTTGCTATTTGGGCTACTGTCTGCATCTTCATCCATCAGTTCTGGTTTTCTCGCGAAGAAAAGCCCTGAGTTTTTCCTCACTAGAAGTTCTCCATCGGAAAACTCTTCTGCTGGTAAATATTTCCTCAAGTATTCTATAGTTTTTAAGTGTGTCTGCTTTTCTTGTTCCAAGGTACGGATCAAGTGCTTCATTTTATTTTCTCTTGTCAAAATGCTTTCAATGCTGGTCTCCAGGTTCTGTATTTTGAAGCGGGCAGCCTGTAGAATGAAGGGAGACCATGCAGTTTAATAGTTTATTACAACTGCATGTATAGCAAGAATTTCTATACCAGTGAAAGTAGCAGTGCAAGTTTTTCCTGCACAAAGGATTTAGTGGCACAATATTGGGGTTTGTTGGAGTTGCTGTATTAGATTACACTTACCTGTAACTAATTGCAGTGACCCTGACAATTTATAAAGGAATTTTTTTTATAGTGTAAAGACATTCCAACTTTGAATTATTTTAACCATCGTTCAATCCAGTTACCCAGATTAGTTGGGGAAGAGGGAGCCTGGACCTTGCAATAGCAGATTTTTTCAATTGCTGCCAGTAATCTCTACATTACGTTGGACCTGAAAATGTGCTCAGTAGGGAAACAACATTGTAATTGGCATCTTGTAAATGGCCTCACTGACATCATCCCACTTCGATCCCTCAATCGACCCAAGATCTTTTTACAGTTAAGGACTAGTAGTCGGTACCTGGGAGAGTCCTTAGACTCATGTTGCATCCCATTGTACCATTTTACAGTTATTTTCTCACTGAGCATAGTTTTTAATTCACAATATGTAATCATTTGTCCATGGGGTCAAATTTCCAGTCGGTATGCTATTGAACCGGACAGTAGATTCTCTGACACTATGTTCATTGGTGCTGAAGTCAGAGAAATCGGATCTGCAGCACAAGACTACCAGCTCACAGACTGTAATTGACAGATAGTGAGATACGCTTTTTTTGCTTACTAAAAAGGTAGTATCTTGCTGGGACCACCCAATCCATTTGGTTCTCAGGGTTTAGTGGGGTCCTACATATAAAAGGTCATTTTGGCTTTGTTAGATCGGTATCTTCAGAGCCAGTTAATCCACAGGGTTTACATTACCTTCTTCCGCGCCTAACAAATGATTGATTTTATAATATTAATCCTTACATTTGATATAATGCCTTTCATATCAGGAGGACATTTCTGTTGAGTTTAGAAGGTTGTGCGGTGATCTAATTGAGGTTTTTAAAATAATAAATTTGACAGGGTAGCTACAGAGAAACACAAAAATATTGCTTATATGGCCCAAGGACATTTCTCAAATCTGGCACCCAGCCCTCAGTAGCTAAAAGGTTGGACAACTCTGGCCTAGACAATGAGTTCAAAGTCCTAAAATGGAACTCGAACCCACACCTTCTGACTCAGGGGGTCAACCAAGTTAAGCCAGGTATTCATTTAAACCCAGAATCATCCAGGCTCAGGTCCCATGCGAAACCAGCTGAGTTAATGGGATTGCAAAGATACTATTATTACTGAATGTCTCTGCTTTGACAAATTTACTGTTAAAGTACTTGTTCAGAACTATGTGAATCTCTGACCTGGAGTTTTTCCAGAAGCTCCATGTTTTGTCTCTTGAGCTGATTATTCGCCCTCTCCAATTTCTCCAGACGATCCCCTTCTTCACAGGGTGACGAGGCCTCCAGCATCTCATCCTGCAGCACATGATACTCCACCTCATAGGCATGGAGCTGCTTGGAAATGTCCATCTCAAACACCTGCAATACAGAAGAGGAGAAATGGGTATTTTTATACCGTCTTATCACACCAATTGTTTCACGATAAGAACGGATGTGTATCAATTTTTTTTAGGTAATCCAAAAGAACAGATTCCCTGCAGACAGATTTGTTTTGGGGGTGGGGTGAAAGGTAGTGGGGAGCTCTCTTTTAGAATTACACTACAGGAGTTAGGTGTGCCACACAGTGCTGTAGCCTAAACAGGGGCCTGTCTTTCTCCACACGGTTGATTTACTCCAGATAAAATACAATCAGTGTTGGTTCCATACACTGACCAAATTCCATGACAGACACACACACACCATGAGAACTGTGGCACATCTAAAAGGATTAAACCAAGGAAACCGAGTGATGAAAAGAAAGGGACATTCACATTATGAAACTGATTTCTGCACTCAAACAAAGATAATATTACTAACCTAAATGTAGGCTTGTGGCATCCCAGAAGTGTGTAATGTAGATGAGCTCTGAGGCAAATTCTGAACTTATCTAACTCCTAAAAAAAATTGTGTATAACTGGAGAGGTGGGGAAACTGGTTGAACCCAGCTTTGATAGTTTGGGATGAGTTACCACAGCTGCTGACTGCATTAGCAGCTGAATGTGCCTGTTTGCATAAGAGGAAATTCCCTCTATTTTCTCTTGTGGTTCAGTGACTCTGAATCCACTCAGCTGATACATCCAGTGATCTAGGAGTGGATAAAGAACTTCTATTGCTACATTAGCTTGGGGGGAGGGGAAGTAAAGTTTGAAAATCCTGTGTTGAAACATGTCAGCAATTTAACTAGAAAGCTGGCAACCCTAAATAATAAGCTTACCTCAACCATTAACTAGACAATTTCATTCTGGCAGAGATCACGATTAGTACCCTAGCCTGTTTTATTCATTGTCTCTCAGCCTCAAGTGACCGGACAACCACAGCACTGTCCCGACTTGCTCGTCCTGCGGAGATCACTTACTTCATTACATCTTAAGAATTGTTTCTGTTTTTCTCTTTAGTTCAAAAAGAACAAAGGTCTGAAACCCGAGATTATGAATCAACTAAATAGTTGGTTTTGTGTGTGTGTCTGTGAGTTTTAAAATAAAAATGGTGGTGCCTGGGAGTATAAACTTGATGAGAACTGAAGATGGGAATGGCGATTAATGTCAGGCAAAGATACATTGGCTTAGAGAGAGAAAAATTATGAATTTGTACCTGGACGATTGTTTTCTCCATCTGTGTATGGCTCAGGTTGGGAATGGTGGACTTTATAAAATCTACAATACTTTCAAAGCTATCACACTGCATGATTAATTCCTTGTGACTGCTTAGCAGGCTTAATGCTGCTTTAAATATCACTTCAGTCCCCTGAAGAAACATAATGTCTGTTTAAAAGAAGATAAAGAATTACCAAACAGCAGGAGAGGAGTTAAAGCTACCTAAAATCTGAACAATAGTAACAGCATTTAGCATAAATGAACACTAAGTAAAATTGCTCATTTGTTATTTGTTTTAAAATATGTTAATCATCGATACAGTTTACATTTAAGATTTACTTAAAAGTTGTGACTTTAGGCATCACAAATAAGAGCATAGCCTCACAGGATGTATCTACAAACTACCAGTGAGAACATTATGATGTGTAAAGTTTCCAAGTTTATTATAAATAGACATGCAATGTTGTTTGTCAGTGCAACTATTTACAAGGATTTATGTACAGAGTGAAATCCACCACCTGAAGCAACAGTAATAAATGCCAATGGTTAACGCTAATATATTTCAATAACGTGCATTGTATTTTTAGAGGGTAGAGTGACATAACACCATGGTCTTGATTTACCCTATTTGTATAGCATTTAGAGCATCCAGAATTTAGAAAATTCTTCAATTCAGCCTTAATTTCGAAACCGTTTTTTTGTAAGTTCTTAAAAGAGGGGAGTTAAAGCTATTCTAAATCTTAAAAGAGCTTATACTGGGTGAAAATGTACTCAAAGTCAAGGGTGAATTTAACAAAGAACCAAGTTCTAGACACTCTAAAATACTACAGGAATAGACTAAATCTAGACCTAGGTGGAATTTCTCCTCAAGAATGTGGTACTTCATCCAAAGAGGACTAACTCACAAGTAGTACAGGTTCAAATGAGTTGAAATTGCCTCTCAGAAGAGAGCTGAATTAAGTCAAAGGATCCTGGCACAAGAATAATAGCAAATTAAACAGGATATTACAAGTAAATACATCTGATTTTATTACTTCATTTGTTGAATTCTTGTGTTTACCAAGATGAGAGATGTTAATTTTCAACCCCCTGCTCATGTCCAAATCCCTAACTGTCCAGCACCTTGAGACGTCCTCCCGACGTGAAAGGCGTTTTACAAATGTAATTTATTGGTGTCTTGAGACTACCTTGGAGAAGGTGAGGGATGAGGCAACGATGTAGGGATTATTACCCTGGAAAAAGCAATCCACCAATTGACTAACAACTGGGTTCCTAGTTATAGGTAAATTAGTAGGAACCCGGTTGTTAATTGATTGGTGGATTGAGTGTGGAGCAATGAAACCTTTCGCCCCACCTGGGAATCAAACCCAGGTCCTCTCACTTGTGAGGCGAGTGCTCTAACCAAGATGCTACAGGAGTCCAAATAATGGAGTTCCAGAGGATGGGGTTAGAAAGGCCGAAGGCCCAACTGCCAATGGTGGAGCAGGCGGGGTGGGGAACATGGGAACCAGTGAAACTTGGCGAGGATGGGGTTGATTGGTTCCTGGGGCCTAGTGCTGGAAAGCTCTGAATAGTCTGCAGCATGTGGCAGGAGGAGTTGGGGAGTCCGGCGAGCGCAAATCAGACAATAGTAATACTGTGAGCCGTCAGCAAGAAAGTCTCCTTCTGCCTTAAGTCCTTGTGATTGTGAATTGGAGCAGTGATCACTTACCAAAGATTCTGGCTACGAATCCTAATGGAAACTGGGACGCAAAGAAGGTGAGGAACCACGGTGCTGCATAGAGGCTGGGGCTGACCTCGTTGTCTTCCAGATGGCTGTACAGGTCCCTGTGGTAGTCGTGCAGAAGTCTGGACAGCTGGTACATCTGAACCTACTCAAACAACAAAGGCTTTCAATGTGAAATTCTGTTGCAGTGTGCAGTACAGATACTTTTGTCGACATATTTACCCCAAACGTTCTGAAATCACATGCAGGGTTAAGTTAAAAATGCCTCCTGGCTTGTTTTGATCGCAGTAATTCTCCTGCTTACCATCCCCATCAAGGAGTTCTTATTCTCTTTCCCATATCTGGACACAGGGATTGCTGCAGATACAGGTGAGGAAAGCTTTGTGTCCAATGGTAAAACGTGGTTGAAGACATTGTTCACATTACATAGGACTATCGAGTGTTCCATTGTAGTCCACCTCTCCGACTGAACCCAAAGCAAAATAAAAATTTGAAAAATTTGTATTCTACCTCTCTGACCCTCTCAACTAAATTCTGTGTCAAATAGCTATCAAAGAATCATAGGGGTTATTTCTCCATCATTCAGTACAATTATTCATGTGCATTTAACTTACGTGTTATTTAATTAGAAAAATAAGTTCCGTATAGAACTCAATGGAAAAATATCCTGAGCAGGAAAGCAACCACGGAGAGAAAAACAAGGTTCCTAAATGGCCTGACTTTAAGATGAATCGCTTCCACACTACTCAAATGGGATTTGCTGAAAGCCTTTGAATTTTCAAGAAATTGGTTTCTGACAAGTTATCACATCACCTCGATAAATCCTGATATGGCAGCTGTCTGGCTGGCAGTGCTCTTGAAAACATAAAAGCACAGCCAGCCGTACGTTAACTGGCCGATAAGCTGTGGGGGGCATTCGAAATGCACAGCTTTAACCTCGATGATATGGGATGACAGCGCTCCTCAGGGAAGACTTGAAAATAATCATAAACAAAATCTATCATATTAAAAATAACAGCCGGGTGCTCTAATGCAATCAGAAAACATGCTGGCTGAGAAAATTGCTTCTGCAGGGTTTTCCTGTAGCCTGTAGAGCTGCAAACACGTCAGGAGAGAGTGATGGAAGAGCTGAGCTAATACCGCAAGCAATGATCAAATCTTAAAAAGATTACTGAGTGACTGTGAAATTATTTAGGTACACACATTTGATCATGTGTAAATAAAACACCCAGCTCCCAATCGCTCCCATTTTAATCCCACACCAGATCTAAAACAAGGTTATCCTATCGCTTCGCGTTTTTAATGCACCATTTAATCCTATGAAATGTTCTTCCAACTGTATTTTCATAACCCTGTTTAAGAATGTTAAATACATTTTAAAAATATATCCTTTCATTTGAAATAGCATCTTTCACATCATGAGGATATCTGAAAGTATTTCACAGGATTCACTGTAAAGTGTAGTAACTGTATTTTTGTAGGTGAACAACGGAGCTAATTTGAGCATAGGAATGTCCCACAAACAGCCATGAAGCAATCCTACTAGTTTTATTTAGGGAATTGTTGGCCAGTACACTGGGGGAAAACTTTCTTCTCTTTTTGAACAATGCCATGGATCTTTAACTTCCATCTGAACAGGCAAGCAGTACCTTGGTTTGACGTCTCATCCAAAGTATGTGAACTCCAATAATGCAGCATATCCCCGACAGTGGCATATTAACCCAGACTTACTGCAAAGTCTTGATGCGGGGCCTGAACCCACAACCTGCTGACTCAGAGATGAGAGTGCTAACAACTGAGCCAGGCTGATACACATTTTATCTCATGAAAATGTTCTTTTGTATACAATTTGGTCACAAGAAAGCATTAGAAACTCTGTGGTTTGGTGCTCTGGTTTCATTTCTTTCATGTTTGTATTATTTGGGAAAGCTGGGAATGAAGATTACAAGTTCCTAACTTCTGGTGCTACACCAGATACCCTAGCTATGAATGTCTTCCACAAACAAAATCTGTCATACCCCAGTGGTAAGCTTCTCTAATTTGTCAACACTGTGTTAACTGCTGTGCGCAATTGGCTACCGTGTTTCGCCCACAAATATAAGGTCAATTCACTTTTCAGTCTATTCTGTGAAGCGCTTTGAACCGTCGAGAAGACGTGAAAAGCGCTATGTCAAATGCAAGGATTATTATTATTAAAGCACCAGCAACTGTTATGTCTAGCAAGCAAGTTTGCTGATGAGCTTATCAATTTGTTTTCTGAATCCAGTGACTAATTTCTCAATATTCCTGTTTAGATTACGGTTAAACCACCCTGTGCCCATTTCATGGTATGTGGCAAATAAATCCTTCTTCAATCAAAGTGTCAGTACTCCAATCTGTTGTTACACCCTGACTGCCGTGGAAACATGGAGGATCAACTTTAGATCCTAATAGTAAGCCACAAGTCACATCTGTTGGTCGGTGACGTTCTTGGGCAAGTTTCCTTACTTTTACTTACTTTTAACTTACTCCACCCGTCTGATAATAATCAGAAAAAAAAACACAATAATAATTTGGTGACTCAATCCACGACTCTTTGTGGGACACTGTTGTGCGTAATTGGCTGCCGCGTTTCGCCCACAAATATACAGTCAATTAATTTAACAATATATTCTGTGAAGCGCTTTGAGACATCTAGAAGACGTGAAAAGCGCTATATCAAATGCAAGGATTATTATTATTATTGTACAGGTTTCGTGGAGGAGTTGGTGGTGGGGTTGCGGGAAGAAACCATCTTTGGGTCTAATAAACAGACTATAGGAGTGCAGTATTTCTGTAACATTTTGATTTCTAACAGCATGTGCTATATCTGATGTCTTTTTAAGACATTGATTTTCAGAAACAAAGGGATCACACTCAGGAAATATACTATTTTGTTAGATGTATAGTAGTTTTGCCTACAAAAACAGTCATTGCACTTGACAAGAATTGCTTGTCATACACTGAGATACTTTGCTGTGCTGATGCACTTTAAATTAAAGATGTTTTTGTTTCTGTTTTTAAACATTTTGACATTTCCAATTTTCCATCTAAAGTGATTTGACCAAGTCTGAATTCCACACAAGTGTTGATGAAGCTCTGGAAATATGTTATCCCCTTCATAGAAATTTTCTTAGCAGACACAATGGGAAGTTAACATACGCTGGTGAAAGCAGACCCCAGTGTTGTGACTGATAAACTGCAGGCGATTATTCAGCATCTCAGATATCAAAACCCTGTACAGAATGAACAGCTGAGATCAAGATTTCACCATGTGGCATGAACCCACGCTTCAATAACATGCCACTTCCCTCATCAATCAAATTCCATACAAAACATCATAAAATGATAACAGAGCAATTTGATGCTCCACCCCCTCCCTAAAAACCACAGGGAGCCTATCTCCCCTTCAAAATGTGGGAAGCCTTTGCTTTTGAGAGCACAAGTCACAAGTCTGCCTGGACTACACTCCATAAAAATAAATATTCAGATTCAATGGCAATGGTCATTGTCCTGACTCTCCTGTCTCTCCACTCTATGTGTTTAGAGCAGTGAAAGCAATTACACATCTGAGCACAGAGTATAGGCCAAATGTGTATTTTTTTTAGAATTATATATATATATAAATTTAAATGATAAAATAAGGTTCCCATGTACAAGGAAAACAGACCTGGCAGCTCAACTCACTCAGGACAAATTACAACTGTTTACCTACATTTTTAAAAAGATACCATGAGTATCTGGCACTGAATTCAATCCCCAGGGATAGGAACCATAATCTCAAGTAGGGGTTAACACCGAGATAACTTCAGAACTGACTTCAGACGTGGAGGGTGAGAGGAGATCACAGCAGTGGAATAGATGAAAAAATTCAATATTATCGAACCTGGTATCAAACACTGGATTATATACATTAAACTGAGATCCCATCTATCTGTTCTGATGGACAGTAATGATTCTGTGGCTATATTTGAATATAGAGAGAGTTTTTCCGGATGTCCTGGCCAACAATCTAACCAGATAAAATTGGTCATTCATTTGATGGCTGTTTTTGGAACTAAGCTGTGAATAAATTGGCTGCTGCAGTCACTACAAATATTCATTACAATTTACAGTAAAATGTTCAACACAATGGGGTGAATGACCTTCTTCTGCTGTAATTTCTATCCAGTGAAGCTTTTTGACAATGTGATATGGTGGTTTATCAAATATTATTATTGCCCACATGAGAGAAATCGCAGAGATTTAGAATCCTTTCAGAAGCTCTACAAATGACAATCTCTTTCACACTGTCTCTCCTCCCTTTTATGTCAAATATGTCAGTACACAACAATAACAACAAATTACATTTGTATAGCGCCTTTCACATCGGGAGGATGATCCAAGGAGCTGGACATTCAGGGATTTGCACCGCAGTTGGAGGTTGGGATCAGGAGGGATGGAAGGCAGGGAGGGGAGGGATAGGAGTGTGACAGAGGTTTTATATCAAGCAATAATTCAGATTAATTTGTACAAATCATCATGTGGGAACTACCTTTTGAAACCAAGTGAAGTGGACAAACAGAAATAGTTTGCTCTGGTTTAAATTCCATCTTAGTACTTGCATTTAATACAGTGCCTTATCTCATCGAAACATCTCAAGGTGCTTCCTTTGCAGTTGTACTCAAAGTAAATTTCAAAGTGTGCTGACTTACTCTGAAATGTGGTGACTTCCTTTGTAGACAAACATAAGAGCTAATCTGACCCAGCCACATACCACAGCAATGACATGATTGTTTGGTCTGTTTTTTTTTGCTGAATTTGACTGAAGGAGAAATCTCAGCCAGGACAACAGGAGAAATCCCTACTTGTCCTTAATATATTATCGTGGGATCATTGTAAATATATAATGCCTTAGAACTTCCTTCCGACATGAAAGGCCCTATTAATGTCCACCTGAACCACCAGAACAGGTGGATAAGACACTGGTTTACTGGTTAAACAACTCATAATAATAATAATAATAACTCCTAAGGATACTAGTATACGAGATGCTCTGTGAGAGAATAGTATTCGGATGACAATTAGACTAATTTTACTTTTTACTGCCACATATTTAATTAATTTATTTTCTTCGCTCCTTCCCCCTTCTCTCTGCTTAAAAGTTGCAGGAAAGCAGTCTGCTCCTGGTATTCTGCAACTGATTGCCTGGAGATACACAGGAGCAGCCTGGACTCGCTCACCTGGTGATATCCTTCTCTCCGCATGGGTCCACCTAACAATATCTGCCAGCACTGAGGAAACTAACCTTCCTTAGAAAGAGCCCTAGAGAACTAACTCACAGCTCCACCATAAAGTATCAAATAATTGCAAACAGATCTAAAGTTTAAATCGTAAGATGAAGATTTGCAACCCAGGAAAGTTGTAGACAAGATCCTCAAGACAATGTCTCAGTCGATTTCAGCAATCTAAACTCAACCAGTTGGGTACTGAGTCCAATTGTAATATAGGATATTGGATGTAAAAACATTACCTGCAGACATATATTAAACATATTCAGAGTACACACTGTACCTGTAATGACATCATGTCGGGTCTGTATTGTTTACGGAAGCCTAGGTCATACATAAGGTACTTTAGCATCTGAAAAGCTTGCTCTTCACTGGTGTGCAGGAGGAGCACCCCGGCAACGAAACTGATGCCCTGACAGTAGCCAACCTCCTTGTCCAGCAACGAGTAGGCCTTCAGCAGGTTAAACAGTGACAGCTGCCCAGCTCCCAACTGTGCAGAGAAGTACGGATGGGTTGGAAATGTTCGTCCTATAGAGGAAGCAGCATTATTACTTGTAATGGAAGAGCAATTCATTGCAGGCAACAAGGTTAAAAACACTTTAAGCAGTTAAGTAGTGACTATTTTGTAGGTGAATACAGAGGCCAGTTTGCACCCAGCAATGTTGTTCAAACAGCAATAAAGTGAATGACCAATTTTATTTGGGGGAATGTTCGCGGGAGAAACTCCCTTCTCTCCGAATAGGCTATTCTAACAGGCTTTTTGGCTCAGGTGGTAGCTTATAACCACATGAATAATATTTGAAAAATAATGTTTGCCACTAAAATAGGAAGAAAAGCAGTCACCTTATGTCAGTCATGTTATCAAACTTGAAATCAGGTAAAAATAAAAAAGTTCATATTTTGACATTTTCAACGGCTAAAAACAATTTTTTAATAAGTTTGCCCAAAATGATCAAACTCTACCCTCCCTTCTCAACTCAGTCTGCAATTTCTCTCCTGGCAAGTTTTCTTAAATTTAAAAATCTGAACTATTTTAGTTCTGTGCTCCTCGCACCAACGAAAGCAAGCACACAACTTTCAAAAGGATCCACTCTCAGATTTTGCCAGCATGTTGCCCATTCTTCCTTCCCTTTCTTATCAGCTCTGTAAGATGAAATAATGCAGCATCTACAGTATTTGGTATTGTTGAGATAGCTTCATTATATACTTTATGTAAATGCTTTATAAAGCACTTTGGGACATCTCAAAGGCGTGATAAGGCACTATATCAAATGCAAGGATTATTATTAATGCAGTGTGTGTCCACTAGTGGTCAAAACTTGGTTCTGCAGTGATAAAAAGCTTAACAGTTGTGGATGTCACAATGCCCTCGAGTCCTGGATGTGTGCCACAGAAACCTAGCAGGATGCATTTGAGTCCTTATCTCCTGCCATATTGTAAATGTTTTTCAATCATCATTAGGAATGACAAATAGCTTTTAGAAGTGGGCTGTTATAAAAGCCTAAAGGATTTAAAAGCACTGGGATTTCACATTGGTGAGAAACAAGACCATATGGCTAAATCACTGAGTGTAGCACACATGACTTATTCAATACTGAATTTGACTCTCCCTTTATAGGGTCTGCTTTCTGCAAGTAAAATCAACACTATCCACTTAGCATTTCTATCGCAGTTCACAGTGGGCCTGTAACATCCAGTGCATAACTGGCAATTCCTAGATCTGTAGCCAGGAGACACTCTTATAAAACCAACAGTAGTATTTATGTCTAACAAATGCCTGCTCCTGAATCAACAGTATTGCTGGCTAATTTTGACCCTGAAACTAAACTTTCTGAAAACAGGCATAAAACGTTAAGGAGCTGATTTCCAATTTGTTAGCAAGATTGCCTTAAAAAGTTTCTAAGACAACTGGAAAAGGAGCTGGGTTTTCTCTCTCCTTCAGGAAGATAAGGACATGGCTGCCAATAGTTGTGATGAGGTGTTGTTAGGGAGAATCACCACCTGCTGGCAAAGAAACCATACTGCATGGAAAAGTTTCTACTTTAGAACTCAGAAATAAGTATTCCAAATAATAATAATCCTTGGATGTCGTACAATGATGTATTATCATATCAAAACGTCTCAAAGCGCTTCACAGTTATTTTGTAAAGTGTACTCAACCGTGAACTTGTAGGCAAAAACAAAAAGGGTGCAATCCCTTAAAGAGGGGCAAATCCACCTTTTTTCTCATTATCAATGAACAAATAGGTTCATACAATCTAACCCAACACAAGACAACGTTTTGTTGCCATTTTTTGTGTTCAATTAAATTTTTTTTAAAAAAACCTCTTACCAAGGTCTACCAAGATGGCATGTTGCTGTGTCGTTAATTGTTTCAAGAGTTCTTTGTATGAAATGTCACCTGGCTGGTATTTATCTGGTAATCTGTGCCTCAAACGATACTGTTCAGCCAAAAACTGCCAGATCTCCCCTCGGCGACTCTTTGGTACACCTGGAACAAACAGCAAAGTGCAGCAAACAGTCACACACTAGCTATGTACATGTCATGACTCATTTCTCACCAGTTAATAGAATAGAGTAAGCGCGCCGCTCATTGTATATATACATAGATCATTTGGGGTCCATTAGGCACTATATATAAACCATGTGTAAATATAGATCTAACGTGTACCATGTTCACACCACGTGAGTTTACATAGCATTCCAGTGTAATTCATAAGTAGGTACCCCTATCCTGAGAAGATTTAAACCATAGTACTCATTATGTGTGCAATTTCAGACCATGGTTCTCAATGGTGTCACTGAAGAATGTACGATTGTCAGATACCTTTCCCCCGCACACATACCTCCTAACTGAGGTCTGATCCAGAATAAAACACAATCAGAATGGTTCTTCCAGCAGCAATCTTGTCAGCATTTCCAAAAAGTAACTGGGACAAATTAGGAACTTCGCAGCAGAAATTACAAGCAAATGGACAACTTTCAAAAACATTGTCACAAAGAGATTGTTGGAAGTTTTAAAATTTTTTTTTAATGTGACCCAAAAGGAAACACAGTCTCACTCAAGAGTCACTGTTGACTGGTTTGTTGATTTTACTTTTGCTGTGTATTGCCCTATTTCCATAATGTGCAGGTCAAAGTGATGTAAAAGTTGCACTGATTACCACAGTGAGATCAAGTTGAGACTGTGTGGCCAATCTCTATTGAGATACTTAACCACTCTTCTCAGATGTCCTTAGGGACCATTTAAATTATTATCAGTCAGTCCCAATGATCGGAGCCATTCCTATGTACAGAGTTACCCATCTGCCCAGACAAATTAAATTTTGGAGCAGGAAATATTAAAAAATCTGCCTCCTCTCCTTTTCACTTTACTCCAGCAGTAAAAAGGTGACATTAAAAATCAAGTTAACATACACTCTGTGATGCAATTTCACAGGTTAATCACTATTTACTGTTAGCTGAGGAGTCTACTGGCAGACTTAGGAAAAATAGCTAATAAACCTACAGAAACAGCTGTTTAGTTTACTTGGTGACAACAAATCACTGCCCAAATACTAAATGAATCACATGTCAAATAATAATCCTTGTATTTGATATCGCGCCTTATCATGCCTTCGAGGTGTCTCAAAGAGCTTCACAGAATAGACTGTAAAATGAATTGACTGTATAAATATCAGCATAGTCTGCCATTGAAAGCACTCTCTGGTAAGCTTTCCTGCTGTTTGACTAGCTAGGACCACCATACCCGTTAGGGTTTGGCTTGTAGGGTTAACAGGAGCTGCGTGGGAAGAATCCATTGTCCAAGTCCTATCGACAAGCCAGACTGGCTGGGCTGTCATCAGCAGTGCCCTGCATTATTGTGGACCTGACTGGCTCAGGAAATGCATTACCAAAGCTGTCATAGAGCATTGACCCATTCCAAAATTCCTTTACCAAACACGTTACGTTGGAGCCAGTTTACTCCAAGGAGATCCTGCTTTGCTGAAATTGCTTGCTTCTCCCCAAGCGGATAGCCACTATCACTATTGGTCAATATGACAATTTCTGGCCTTGCAAGCACTTTAGTTAGACTTTGGGAGTTCTACATCAGTGAATACTGCAATATTTTAGTAAATCTCTTATAAACTATTAATAAAACACTAACCGCATAAAAGTGGGCCATTTATTCCTGTTGATCAAATGGATTTAATCCAGGTGACAATCAGACAACGCCGTGCAATACAGGATAGAAAACACAGAAGTTTTTGTAAAGTAAAATCCTGAAAAGTGTGCTCAGTATCTTGTTTGTAATTATGTTGCTTTTAATTGGGAGCAAGGCCATGGAGGGCTTTGAAGGTGGGGACCAGGATCTGGAACTATATCCTCTGTGTGACGGGAAGCCAGTGGAGTCAGAAGGGATGGGGGTGATAGGGTCATGGAGCATTGTGCGGGAGAGGACATGGGCTGCAGAGTTCTGGATGATCTGCAGCCTATGAGGAGTTGGGGGAGGTCGACAAGCAGGGAGTTTGCACAGTCAAGCCTGGGCATTATGAAAGCGTGTATGAGGGTTTCGTCGGCCTGCGGTGTATGACAGTGGCAGAGCCGGACAATGTTACGGAGGTGGAGGAAGGCAGAGCGGGTCATGGCACAGATGTGGAGTAGAAAAGATAGTTGAGGGCCAAACAAGATACCAATGTTTTGGACTGGCTTAGTAAGGTGGAGTGTGCATCCTTGGATGGTGATGCTGTCAGCGCCTGAGGTGTGGGACGAGATAATGAAATCGAAAAAGGAAACTAACCTTGACTAAGAACAATCTGAACCTTTTCCATGTCAATCTTAACCTTCGCTCGTCCTGGAGTGGTCAGCATCTTATCCCAAACAGCAGAAACCTCTTTCTGACAGGGAGCAAACTCTTTGTAGTCCAGTTTGCACTTCCTGGTCTGCAGCTCATCTCTGCTTGCTATTCAAAGAGAGGACGGGAAAACTTTCAGATTAGCACAAGAGAGACTGAGCAATAAAATCATTTCACAAGAAGTACATTTCTCTGCTGTGGCTCATACAATTACTATAGCCCAATAGGCAGTATGTGCACAGCTCAAGGCAGACTGATCAGTTTTAGGTCCCATTTATTAACCATATCTATGGATTTCTGATGAGTTAACACAGGAGGACAAGAGGGCTCAGTTTCTGGTTTGTGAAAGCAAGTTTAGAACATACAACATAAAATATTTATTTATATAGAAATCTCTTGATAGTGGTTAGGAGTGGAAAATGTATCTGATCTTTCCTACTCCCTGGATATGAAAATTGAGGTCAATTGCAAAGTTTCCACTGTTCCCCTATCTTTAATTGGGCAGGGCCTTTCTAATCTGTAGGGCTCAGTACACGTTGAGGTGCACTTACCTACCAAAGCACCGAGAATACTTTTGATACACAATTGTTTTCCACAACATCAAGGCTATAGGTGGATTCCTATCCCAAAGAAAAGGATTCCTTGCTATTTCAAGGTGTCTTACAGATGTCCTGTATTCCAATTATTCTGCATGGCCACCATCCAGATTCTTAGCAGCACTGATCACACAAGGAGAGAATCATAGTTTTTCTGCACAAAAAGCAAGCCTTTGGCCTGCTCATCCATGCTACAGCTACCCATGTTTTTTAATCTCCCTTTTTAATTCCCTTCAAATACACAGTCACTACGGTTTACAGTGAATCCTGCATTAATCCTTGCATTTGATATAGTGCCTTTTCGCATCAGGAACATATCTCAAAGTACTTCACAGAATTTACTATATATTGTAGTGATTGTATTTTGCAGACGATCATTTTGTAGTAATTTTCCAGGATTCCCACTTTTATTAATCAGGTGTCAGGATGGCTGCTTTGCTGACCAACCCAAGACCAGTGATGTCCCTCTCTCTCTCCCTGTTACTAACTCAAGTGGGGGGTAAAAATCCTGTCTGTAGTGGCCTGATTTGTCACTATTGCCAGCTAGAAATCCTGCTGTTCCTGGCAATAATATTGCTCTCATTTATCATCAGTGAGAAATCAACACTAAAGATGGGTAGCTGTTTATCAAGTACATGTTTCAGGAGACACACATATGCAATAGACAAACACCCAAAAGCGATAGACACACACCCAAATGCAGCACAGAGTGGAGAATAACAGGCAGGTTAAGAACGAGGTTCAGAATGCAGGTTCTCAGACCTTCAAAACCTGTTCTAGTCTTGTCTGTGATAATGTGGGAGACATTGGGCAAAAAGCTGCAGTTCTCCACAACAGAGAGGGCAGCTGGGAGTGAAGGCTGCATCCCAGGCAGATCTTCAAGCGCTAGCTTCTGAACAGTGCTGGTACAAGATAATAATAATAATAATAATAATAATAATAATAATAATCCTTGCATTTGATATAGCGCTTTTCACGTCGGGAGGACGTCCCAAAGCGCTTCACAGAACACACTGTAAAGTGAATTGACTGTATATTTGTGGGCGAACGCGGCAGCCAATTGAGCACGGCAATGTCCCACAAACAGTCGTAGATTGAAAATGACCAATTTATTATTGTTTTTTGTTTTGGAGGGATTATTATTAGGTGTGTGGAGTAAGGAAACTTGCCCAAGGTTTCGCCCTGCCTGGAATTGAACTCAGGTCTCTCACTTGCAAAGCGAGTGCTCTAACCACTGAGCTACAGATGAACAGCAGGATTCCCAATGCCGTCTTGTGACCAGCAATGGTAATGTATGAGGACAATCCAGAGAAATTAAACAATTTCTCAAAACAAACATAATTTTAAAATAAGACTTTTTCACCGGTCCCTCAAAAAAAATGCGGAAACAGTGAAACAGTATGAAACAAAACATGGAAGCTTGAAATTTTATAAGCCCAGAAAAGGCTTGAAATATCAGTAAGCCAATGACAATAATAAATTGCATTTATACACCACCTTTCATGCAGGGTAACATCTCCAAGCGCTATGCAGAGAAGGTGGCGCACACAAGCCAGGGAGACTGGTGTAGGGGAGGAGGAAAGTGACTGGAAGACATGCTTAAAGAGGTAGCTTTTCAGGAGGCTTTTAAAGACATGTTAATCGTCAGCTAAGAAAGACAGGTGAGCGTTCCAAGTGTGGCCCTTCATTGAACAGATCATGTGCTCCCAAGCAATCATTATCATCTATTTAACCTAAAAATCTTTTTGTATGAAAGGTTACTTCCAGGTCACTTGTGCATTCTTACATTTTTTTTAAATAAAAAAAATCAAAGGCTGTGGTGAAAACATGATTTATTCTTGTGGAGATGTTATCAGCGCCTGTGTTTAGGCTTCGCTTTGTTATAAATTCACAAGGCTGCTCTGTGGCTCTACAAAAATCCTTTCCCCTATGGACTTTCAAAGATTTGAATTTTAAAAATAACAAAGGGCATCAAAGTCCAAACCAATTGAAGATTACTTTAAGCCTTTGAAGTTGCACTCCAGGATTGGACCCACAGAAATGTTTCACTTAATGTTGTTTATTTGTTCTTCCTCTTTCTGTTTTTAGATCACCCTCAACTGATCAACAGAGTCAGATTCTGCAAGAACAAGCAAGGGGCTGAGCACAGTACAGACAAGGGGCTGAGCACAGCACAGACAAGGGGCTGAGCACAGTACAGGCAAGACACTCAGCACAGGCAAGAAACTTCCTTTGGAGAGAGAGGGAAAAGGTACATGAAGTTCATTTTGCTTTTATGCAGCTCTGAGCAGCCAATTCTAGAGCGAATGGGTGCTGCTCATCTGGACACAGTTAATCAGGAATTGGAATAGAGATGACTCACTGAGACTGACACACAGAGTAAGTTTCAAAGTGTGGGTGGAAATTAGATTAAAAATCTCTCATTGTTTTAATTCAGGTGAATTCAACCTCTTCTACTCCACCACAATTTCATTTTCGATTCTTTATTATGGACAACAGTTTATAGATATTCACTATTAGCAATGAATGACAATGGAACTGTTCTTACCTTCTAGCAAAGGCACAATATTTGAAAAGAATTGGAATCTCCTCGACAGCATTAAAAATATGATAGTCACCAATTACAAATCGAATTAGCAAATGTTAGTGCAACAAAACATGACTTTAACGAAACAGTATATATTGGCTACATATGAGACATAATTTCATTTCCTAATAAAAAAAAGTTAGTATTAGGTTGCAGTATTTATGTTGGAATAAGTTTCATGGAGTCCAGAAAGGTTGAACATTCCAATTTGATATCACAGGAGAGATTCTCTAATTAATATACCTTGCACACTATGTCACTCTATCCTCATCAGCTATGTTAACGGCCTAAAATTCAACATGGTCTTAAAACTTAAAACTCTGCAGCCTTTTGAATAATTCTTAGATTTGGTCTTCCTTTGGAAGCTGGTTTTCCATAGTGCTTTCTGTTAGATAAAAGCAAACTAAGACTGAACTGAAGAACTTTCCAAACTGCTGCACAATCTTAACTTGTTAAGTGTTAAGGCTAAAACCATAAGAAATGTGAAACCAATCAAAAAATATCACTCTATCAATAACAGCTCTACTTTTAATTAATGCCTGAATCTGGAAGTGGACTAGATGTGGAAATATGACAGAACTGCTTATTTAATGTTGGGTTCACTGAAAGTAGGAACAGCTTCCACTCACATAACAATAGTCTATAGACTGTGTTTAGTAATGCCAACAGGAAATGTCTGTAGTCCCTGTATATTACTATTCACAGGCCTCAAATGGCCTGCAAGACAACAGTTCCTCTCCCCGGCTCCCAGCAACTCAGTGCAGTGTATAGTAAAATGGAATACAAGACACACCACTGGTACATTTTCATTCTAAAACAGTAACTTTGTAGAAAATGATTTGGGGAGGACAAGTTTGCAGGGGAGAAAGCGGGGGAGTGGGATTGAATTGGATAGCTCTTTTCAAAGAGCTGGTACAGACAAGATGGGCCGAATGGTCTCCTTCTGTGCTGTATAATTCTATGAACTTCATGACAATTGGAAAGCCATCTGCAGAGCCCTTCCTAGATAGTATATAGTGGTCTCCCGTGTGAAGCTAAGCCACATAGAGCTAAAAGTTCTAGGTTTAACTCCTAGTATGTGGTGGAATAACCAGATCTCAGACAAAGGAGCAGTACAGATCCTCCAATGAGCCTTGGTGCTTCTGGGTTAAGTAAGGAGAAAAGAAAGAAGCTTATGTGGAGTATAAGCACCAGCACAGACTAGTTGGGCTGAATGGCCTGTTTCTATTCTGTATATCCTATGGCCAAAGGGAGAAAATGACAATCTTTGTATGATTGTAAAAAAATCCAGAAATGTATGTTTGAAAATGGTGTCAAGTATGTGTGTTAGGCTGTGCTAAAACAGTGGGAGTTGACCTGCATTTCAGAGTGGCATATAAAGTACACCACATCATCTTACATACTTTAGTTATACAGAGTGGTGCATGCTTTATTTAAACAATATGCCAAAATGCCACTGAAAAAAAAAAATTACTTCAAGCCCTGAAATCAACAAACTCACAGATTATATTTAAAGATGTTTTATAAAACAACACTGCTAGATTTAACATGAAATGAAGGATTATCCACCACATAATGGTGTTGACAGATCTCTGCCACTAGATGGCACCCTCTGTATGTTCAATATCGATTCCAGGTTCACACATATTTCTATTATTAAGGAAAATCCCAAAGCTAATGAGTGTATTCAATTAAATGAAACTATGTACTGTGGCTTTAGCTGATGGCTCATCAAGTTGATCGATATACATAGCTGAGCCACACACTAAGGAGGTATAAAACTATCAATGGCCTCAGTATATAAATATAATTTTAATATTTTGTTGTTACAGGTTGGCTTTCCAGCCCAATCAACTTTCCATCTCCCTCCACAAGCCCCAACTCATCCAAAATACTAAAGCCTGTATGATTTAGCGAGCTAATATGCTGCCTCACTGCCAGTCACAATCAACCTCATGAGCAAGTTGAGCAGATGGCATCTTGGCATTCCTGCTAACGTGTAGCCTGACCTTGTTTCCCGGCAACACGTGGTATGATGCCAGGTCCAACAGTCTCACTCTCATAGTCCCGGTAGATCAAGTAATCCACAGCCTGACCTCGTTCCCCCTCCTCCAGCTGTCAAACTCCACATTCGTTCTGTTGATTTCTCCCCCCCCCCCCTCCCCCCCCCCACCACCCCTCCAGTTTATACCCTTACCCTCTCGGATGTAGATATCCATTTCAAGGACAGACTTCTTCAGTGCTCTTCATGCCAACTGCCCGGCCCCCACAATCCCTGATTCACCCAAACTTTGCAGCCTATTTTTTCTCCCACACTTGGCTCTGCACACTCATTACTCCCATGCTCGCCAAGCTTCACTGTCCCAATATCCCAGCAATTGACTTTTAAGATCACTGTCCTGACCAGGAGATTGTAAGGATTTTACCACAACAGGTCATTGCTGAAATCAGTAACACTCTGAGGAAGAAACATAGGGCTTTTGCTTTATATCAAGATGTATCATTAAACAGTGTCTGACAGATTAATTGAGGATCACATTCATTAGACTTCTTAAGAATTATGCCCTGATGTTTAGTTGCTAAGAGTCGCAGCATACTGACCAGGAACTTGTTGATTTGAATCCCATTCTGTGCTGAGTTTGCTGGACTCAGCTGGAGAGGCTAAACTGTCCTCGCCCTTACCAGTGTTGTGCGAGGAGAAAACATGCCAGGGGTTCTGCACCTGATGTCCGTACAGGACCCACTACTAGCTGTGTGAGTGTGTGGTAGCCATGTGGGGGTAGGTCAGGCTCAAGTGCAATGCCTCAACAGAGCGATCCCGCTGATAGTCACTGCCAATGTTCATACATGAACACGGGGCACTAAGGGAGGGGGCCAACCAGCACCTTTGGAACCACACCCCAGCAAGAAGAATGTGGGAACCAGGAGCAGAGTGGGGAGAAACATAGAAAAAAATTTAACACATTAAATTTATATTGAAAAAATGACCTGTCATCTGTGAACAAAAAAATAAAGATCTTTTGTTATTTTGAGTAAAGTTTGGAGACATTTGTGCTGACCTCATTCAGGTTTATATTTAAATACTGCACCTCTAAAGGGCATTCCACAACTATAATTTCTCCATAATTCAGATCATGTGATATATCAAAGAGGGAGAGGTAGAACAACTTGTACTTCTGTAAGAAAAATGACACTTTTGAGGAATCTCGACATTGCTCTTAAAGTTCATGCTGCAACTTACTTAAAACACTGCCAATGACATGGCTTTCTTCATCAACCCATTGAAGTTTAGTCATTCAATAAAAGAAGGCAGAACTGTGATGGGGAAACAATTTCCCTAAATCACATTTTGAAGCTGACTTGTTTAACGTCCACGAGAGATATTTAATGGCAATCCTTGACACATATGTTTTTGACATAACTAACCTTCCAGCCTTTGATTCTCCTTCTCCATCCGAAGTAAGAGGATCTGTTGGCAAATGGCTTTCCTCCACATGATGCGGAGCTGATCAGAGGAGCGCTTCTTCCTATCTCCAACCAGCAAGTCATCCTCTGCCAGCAGAGTTGCCAGGGGGTCCTCCTGCACGGCAGGTGCAAGAGGAGAAAGAGGTGGCAGATCAATGCCGTCAAAATGATCTGCAAAAACAAGTGTTTGTACCTCAATATTATCTACCATATATATAACAATATATACCATATATACATACCAATATTATCTAGCACATATATAACAATATATACCATATATACATACCAATATTATCTACCATATATATAACAATATATACTGTAATGTACATACCGATATAATTTACCATATATAACAATATATACCATATATACATATAATTTACCCCATTTATCTAAAACAAAAGTATTAGACATAGGTTGGCCAGGGGCCAAGACTTGGGGATCCCAGAATGTGTGTTGGTCTATTGCTGCATTTTAACCTGCTAAAACCACATAGTCTGTTATTGAATGTAACATTCTTGGCCAGCTAGGACCAACCTATCCATTAGCATTTAGGGTGCTGGGTTAATGAAGTTGAGCAGGAAGAATCCCTGCCCCCAGTGAACTGTTTGCACCCATAGTCTTGCTGATAGGTAGGCTGGCTGGTCTGCCATCACCTCTTAGAATCCTTTCCCAAGCATATCACTCTTCAGCCATCTCAAGCCCAAGGACACTTCACTGACCTTCCTCCTTGCCCAAACAAGGAGTAAAGTCACTAGCAGGTCATTTGACACCGTCAGCACAGGTTTATGCCCTCAATAGCTGACAAGCAGGCTCCTTTAGGGCTCTAAGTGAGCAATACAGCTCAGCATGAAATGCATGAGAGGATAGGCATCATCCTCCTGCCCATAGCTGGGACAAACATTCCTATCCATTGAGCAACAATTCTTTCTTGTAGCTGGAATGATTTGTGTATACTCATCCTTATAACCTTCAATCCTCTTTACAGAGTTAACAATAGTCTTCAGGTACCATCATTTTTTGGAAGTCACTCTGGTGTCTGACCTGTGCGACTACCAACCCCCCACCCACCACCACTAAGCAGAATGAAGGGTTTCTGCATGTGCCAGACATCCGTCAGGACCAAAAAAAGTTACAACTGAGCATTCATACTTTACCATATTTCATGAGGACCACCGCAGGTCTTGGTGACATATCCGTGCTGTGTTCGTTCCAAGTTGTTTCTCATACCAAAATACCACTGCAGGATAATTATACAATTTCTGCAACAACTGTGTTCCATACCTTCCAGACTACCTTTCTGCTGCATGGCTGCAGAAGATTTGTTCATTGGTGAAGCAACTCGTAGGAAGATACGCTGACGCCACGAGACCCGACGAGGGGTGAGAAGAATCCCACCTCCAATCAAAGATTCTGTACTGCAGCCAGAGAGGGTCCTCCTCATGCCTTCACCATCACTGAAATGTAAATAAAAAAGAGAATAAGTGTTTTACATACATGTTAAACAAAGCCTTAAATTCATAGCTATATTTGAACGCTAGGGATTATTGAATTATTAGTTTATTGACATTGAGTGAAGGAAGCATTGGATAGAGCCAAAAGTAACACAAACTTAAATGTAAAAGTTTCAGACTAACAGAGGTTATGGGCTCCAATGGGGTGTGTAATGTTTGAGGAAACAGGTTCAGATCAAACCAAGAATATACATTTATAGCAAGTCTGATTTACATAATGGAGTTTGATCTCCTCTGCCATTTTCTAGCATTATATTCCAAACCTTTGTACATAATTTCTAGTTCTGTTTTTAAACCACTTAAGAAAGGTCTTCAGGAGCTCAGGTTTGTCAGCCTATCCTGTTCAATTGACAGGCTATTGACACAACCTCCCATGTTTCTGTCAAAGTGTTCCGTTCAATAACTTTACTCCATATTCCAGGACTCGAGTGGCTAAAACACCTTAATGTTTATAGCTAGTACATCACAGAGTATTTCACCAACTCACATCTTTATGTTCTTTAGAATGATCTTGGGGACCTGTAGTAATTGGAGAAAGCTGTGCTGAAACCTTACAAATTGAGCTATTATTACTACTGCTGTGTGTAATATACACTTTCTGCTCTCTTTTGGAACAGAATAGATTGAACTGAGTGAAGGAAACAGATCCACATGCAGGAACTGCTCTACAAGAATATCAGTGACCAAATCCATGTCTAGGTATCACCCCTTGGAGGGTAATGTTACATCTCCTAAGTTTTCCTCTGTCTTTCCTCAGTCTATAAGCTTGATCTCATCCCTTTTGCACCAGTTCCTTTTCTTCATTGAATTTCTGCAGCTTTAAACCATATGTTTTTCTCTGTTTCTGGAGATGCTAAACCACGTGAAGTCAACAGTGGAGTTGAAAGAGCACAGATGGGTATACTCGCCTTGAAGCAGTGGTTGGATTAACTATTAACACCAATTGCATTGCAACTAACCTCCTCTATGTACCAAGTGAAAATCTGACCCAGAATTAGTGACTTCTGCGATTCGGTTAGATTGAGACAACAAAGCCATTTGCAACGATAATCTCTTTGACACCCATTTACGTCCTAAGGGAGAAACCATAAGGCAGTTCTTGGAGCTGAAGCTTAATATCTGTTGTACAAGCAAAACTGCTGGAAATTCCTCGCGGAAATAATCAATGTAGATTTCATCTCTCAGAGTTGAACTAACTGTACAGACCTGCACAGATGACAATATTCACAGTTGATGCTTTCTCAGAAGGCCTCTGTACACAAACGGCTAAATTGAAAGGTGATTTTTACAATCCATTTGCACTTGTAAATATATCAGGTAACTCTTGATTCACTTGTAAGTAATTCCTTTTCTAAAGAGGTACTTATCATCCAGTCATATCTGCATCTTTCGGCATTTTTTTGAGTCATATGAAAACAACATAGTTCACCAATGTACAACAACAACAACAACAAGATTTCATTTATAAAGCGCCTTTCACGTCAGGAGGACGTCCCAAGGCGCTGCACAGTTGGGTCATGACCCGAGCAGGGGAAAATGGTCAGGGTGAGGGGAGGAAAGGGAGGGAGCGAGGAGGGGGGAAATGGTCAGGGTGAGGGGAGGGAAGGGAGGGAGCAAGGAGGGGGAGATGGTCAGGGTGAGGGGAGGGAAGGGAGGGAGCGAGGAGGGGGAAGAGAGTCGAGAGGGGAGCTGAAGGCTCGGTCAAAGAGAAAGGTTTTGAGACCGGCCTTGAAGGAGGAGAGGGAGGAGGCGGCGAAGGCACTGGGGGGTGGAGTTCCAGAGCCTGGGGCTGAGAGGCTGAAGGCCCGACCACCGATGGTAGGGCGGTTGGGGCGGGGGACGTGGAGCAGACCGGAGCCAGAGGAACGGAGGGTACGGGCAGGTAGGTAGGGGGATAGTAGGTTGGAGAGGTAGGAGGGAGCAAGGCCGTGAATGGCCTTGTAGGTGAGGATGAGGATCTTGAAATCAATCCTCTGGGGGATGGGGAGCCAGTGGAGGTGAGCGAGGGTGGGAGTGATGTGGTCGCGAAGCCTGGTGCGGGACAGTACACGAACTGCAGAGTTCTGAATGTAACTGTGCATTCACAAGGAATGAGTATATTTTGGGAGGATGGGTAGACTTCTATTGTTTTTTCCCATCTTCCCAAAAAAACAAGCACTCTGCCAAAAGCCAGTGGAACACATCTGGAGTGCAGCCAAGCTCAGACAAACTGCGCTTCAATTTCAGATCCTTTCCTGTGTTTACAAAAAAGCTCTATTGGTACGGCATACAGCAAGGTGAGCAAAGTTTATGTTTTGAGATCCCTCCTTGCAGAGACTACAAGTCCTTGCTTACTCTTCCTTCCTTATGAATCATAAATCTCATTACTTTCAGCCAGACCAACACAAGGGCTCATTTCATATCAACACACAACAGATGGGATGGGGGATGGGAAGCACGTTTCCCATTCCCATATCTGCAGAGACATGCCTAGTATTTGATACACCTGCAGTTGTTGCAAGAATCTGTAGTTCCAGTTGACGCACTCTCCTGCTAAAGAATCACAGTGACAGAAAGAGACAGAAGAAGGGGGAATTGCGAAATAAATTAAAAGACGGCAATACAACAATCGCTGATAAGAACACTTGTTATATCAGCAATGGAATTGTCCTGCTTAGGTTACATATAGGAAAACATAAACCTGCTACAATGACTCACAGTGCTTATAACAATGCAAAAAAATTACCTTTACATAAACATCAGTGCATTGCTGTCCATGTTGAGAAATGTGGATTGGCCATGCTGTCAAAAGCCAAACCACCCCATTATCTCCACATTTACTGGATCTAGCTGAATCCGTACAATTTCCATTAAATCAGCCACTTCAGCTCTGCTTTATTAGCATTAGAAATGCATTCCACAGAATGTGTCTGGTCAAGCTCACTGATAGCAGCAATGAAAGATCGCTACAATCACCACGCAGGTTTCCAGCGCGTGTTAGTGTTGTAATCATCCACCCTTCCGAGCAAGGACCTGAAATCTTTCCACCTACAATGCAAATCAAGCTGAGACTTGCTATGTTATGTTGTCTTTGCTGTACCTTCTGCTGCGCCTTCCCTCAAATGGATCTGAACTCTGAGAATAAGCAATCACTCTCCAGTCACAGACTATTAAATCTTCCTTTAAACTTACAGAATCTGCTTGGCATAAAAGATGACTAAAATGGGATACAGGACAATGTCCACTGAGATTTAAAGGAGCAGGGGAAATAAGATTTGCCCTGAGCAGTTACAAACACAGCCTTATATCACATCCAGACAGGATGTAAATCTAATGAAACGCCCATGTAGACGACACCTGGTTGGTTATTCCTGCTGTCTGTCTACATTGTCTATGGTCACTTACAGACTTAATCACTATGTGCTAAAAAGACAGAATGTTCAGTCCTCGGTCACTGCTGAGGAAATATCCATATTAAGTTCAGAATCAGAAGTCAGTGAATTTATTTCCAGGTCAAAATGCAGAATAGTAAGCGATTTTACAAAGCTAACTTTATTTTTTNAAAATGAAATTACTGGCAAATAACAATGAAAATAGAATTTCCTGAAAGGAAATAAACTCAAGCATGGGAATTGTTAAATTGTTGCAAAATTTATGAGCGAAGGTTAAACGACTCGTTCAGAAATCAGAGCAAGTGATTTATTACGGGAAAGCGTGAACATGTTTCACTTTGTTTACTTACTTTGTATGCTGTTTTGTTGGAACTGCTTCAACCTTGACAAAAACCTAATCTCAAAGAGGCTCTAAAATGGCAATAAACAGGATAAATTATATCAAAATATGAGAGCAGGAGTAAATTTGCCAGCCTTTTTACCCCTGATCTCTGGAACACCATCCTGCGTTTTGCCCTTTCTCTCGTTCCACTTCAAAATCTGCCTTAAGGCTATCTTGTCAGCTGCTCTTTGGGACACCTTCCCTCCCCCCTTAACTCTTTACCAAAATGTTTACTGCAATGTTATTATGTAGTGAAGGGAGAATTGGCTGCATTACACGAGGGAGCTCAATGCAGGGCACATTGGCTGTGTTATAATAAACCTCGCGTTTGATGTAACATTTAATCACATTGTTGAAACGTCTCAAAGCGCTTCCCATTATTTACTGTACATTTGAACGGTGAAATGAGTCTGACAGTCCAGTGTCCCTCGGCACTGCAATGTAGTGTCAGCCTGGACTTAAGCTTCAAATCCCAATAAGGGGCTTTAACTGTCAACCTTCAGAGTCGAAGTGAGAGGTGTCAGCTGAGCCACACTGGCACCTGTGGCGGCTCCGTGGAGGGAACACTGTGTTGTTCAGGGAGTTTATTAAGTGATCAACACCTAATTAGTGCTTCCGCCTTTATGTGAATTCCACAAAAATATTGTCACAGGTAGAAATTCAGCAATATGCTTCCATCTATGGCTTCTGCAGGACACCAAAGTATTATAAAAATGGACTAGGATTTGCTTTGACATTCAGGTTCGGTTGTGCATATTAATACTTTCAGAGTGACACAGCATAGCTACAGCATAATAATAATAATAATAATAATCCTTGCATTTGATATAGCGCTTTTCAAGTCGGGAGGACGTCCCAAAGCGCTTCACAGAACACACACTGTAAAGTGAATTGACTGTATATTTGTGGGCGAACGAGGCAGCCAATTGCGCACAGCAATGTCCCACAAACAGTCGTAGATTAAAGATGACCAATTTATTATTGTTTTGTTTTGGAGGGATTATTATTAGGCTCTGTGTGGAGTAAGGAAACTTGCCCAAGGTTTCACCCTCTGCCTGGAATTGAACTCAGGTCTCTCACTTGCAAAGCGAGTGCACTAACCACTGAGCTACAGGACTCCACATGTTCAATAACTGATAATCATAACAGAAATATTCTTCCTGTTTAATGGCAATGTTATAACAAGTAAA